TGTAGTAGAGAGGCCTCCATCCACAGCTATAACGTACAGGACCACCTCATCTCTTTGGAAGTCCACTAGCTTAGATTTAACGGTGATACTAGCCGTTTTAAAATTGAAGCTGAAATAATCTTTGTAGGCTATATCGTCTTTTTTCGTTGGAGCTAAACAAACAGACATTACGAAGTAGTAACAAGTTATCTTACGTAGTCAATATTCAAATCCACGTGTTATTTGAAGTACGTCAATATACCACTCCACAGGTAATATCACATGAACTTACACGAAAGCATACAGATATCTGTCTCACAATTATAGAATACATTGTACTGGAAAGTCGTTCATGATTCCAAAAAATATCCGCAAATTAATAATGGAAAAAATACTTGCCACCTGATAAAACAATGATTCTATGAACGCTCGTTTGCTCGTCTTGACATGACATGGTATAACTATTTTCTTACAATTCTAGATATACTCTGCCTGGGAAACTATTAATGCTGAAGATAGAATTGTCTGAAAGTCTAATTATGTCAAGATTAATATATATTTTTTACATCATTTAACTTACACTTTCACATTACCTAAAATCTTTAAACTAGCATCATATCTAGTTCTTTAACTTACTTGTACATCCTGGCTAACAACTTAATTTACACCTGTTTTCTTAACTTACGTCGTACTTAATCCCTTAACTTACTCCTTACCAAACAGAAAAGTTAGATCTTGCGACTCCACATCAGTTGCATTTATTTCATCAATAAGTGTTTGATCAATGCTTGCGTCACGCGAAACATTGACGGCGTAAGTTTTAGCGGAAAACACTGGTGCGTTGTCGTTGACGTCAGTCACTGTCACCTTGACATCTACAGTACTAGTGAGAGATGGAGTTCCTTTATCAAACACCAACACCTCGCAAGTATGTAACCTCACTGTTTCAAAGTCTAACGCAGACGTCAATGTGAAGATGATTTTGAAGATGTCAACTGTTGTTATATCTATAAAAAACAAAATGGAATTAAATGATATATTTTCTGAATTCTTCCAGAAACTAAACTTCTTTCTGATTTAAACTGTGTGGTGTTTCAACAGTTCCTATATGAAGATGTGCTGTAGTTATTGCAATTGAGCTTACTTAGTCCTGAAATTTATATACCGCTTAAGGGCATTAACAACCATAACTGACGCTTCTGTCAATCAAATCTGCGCTTTAGCATTAAAACTTCGTCACAGAGGTATACTTACTCTGTGATTACTAATGTACCATTCTTATATAAGCAAGTTATTAATGAAAGCAGTTTAATAAGATAATCACTATAATTGATTTGTTTAGTGTAATACGCACTCAGCTTGGCTGTAAATGGACAGTCTGAATCTAGTGTTACAGACACATCAATGTCACCATTTTCTCCAATATCTTCATCTCTGATAAAACCAAAGGATTCCGTCTGAAAAGTAAAAAAATTATTAGTACCTGTATAAGGTCAAAATTATATTATCATTATATTATATATACCAATAAAGTCTATGGTGAGAAATATTGCCCTTGCTCTTATATTTAGAACAGATATATTTAGAGCTGATCAAAGAACATAAATGGCCAATTAAATATAAATTGACCCGACCAAGTGCTCTTTAATGGTACAAGTATATGGTTTTATTTTTCCAAATTCACACTCTTGTGCAGAAGTGATTAACTGGAATTTCACTAATGAAGCTATCATTGAAGCAATAAAAGAACATAATGCCCAACAACAAAACCCAGGATTCTTCAGGGTATTACTCATATTTCATATAACACATACCTGACAAAAAAATACGACAACCATACAATCCTATACCGAACACACTACAGAATATTTTGAAATTAATGTCATTTTGAGCTTTTGGTATGTAGAGCAGATATGTGTTAAAATGGATTCAACTTACAGAAATCAAGCTCAGTGTCTTAATATATAACATAATGTGATCTCCATAGATATTGGTATTACTGTAGATGCCACAATTTTCGTAAGGATTCTGTCTCCTTAGTAGTATTTGAACTACACGTACAGCACAAGATTTACGAAATGTATGACGGCTTAACTATCAAACACATGTTAAAACTATAACTGCATCTTCATACAAACCCAACATATGTATACTTAAATAGGCATTTTTGATAAAATTGGAAGAACGATTGCTTAACACTTCAAGCATTATAACAGCTTGTGATATTACTGTTATTTAAATCTGCGTATACTACGCACAAAATATTCCTATCATAAACTATAGTGACGGTACGTATCACTAGAATTATGACCGTTTAGTATAGAGGAGTATTCCACGTTTAAATAAAATCATATGTCAACAGTATGCACGATTGAATTCGAATTGAGATTGTTCGTTGAGCGAAGATAGATCAACTGTTTGAAAGTACTGTCTCCTGGAATTTCTCAGTTTGTCACAATTGTTTCGTAACCCTGTTGTTGTTGTTCCAAGTTGGAGGTATACTAGGCACTCGGCTTTATAAAGGACTAAGGAGAGAATCGATACTGCAATATGGCTGACACTCCTTTATTGTATTTTCAAAAACTTTTCAATTGAATTCCTTTGTATGGATTGTTTTTTATTGACGTTATTTCATGGGTACTTCTCAACATCATGAATATTCTTAACTGAAATGTTAAATTTTGTTCATATTTCTATAATAAAAGTTTATGCATTATTTCTTTGTTTCAATCAGTTGGTAATTTATTAATTATGCATATTTTAGAATTTCACTTCAAGTTTGAGGAAAAAAGTTCCTTAGAGTAAAAAACCAAGTATATAACCTGGCATGTGTAAAATAGACCTCATATGCCCTCCTTATCGCCAACACATCTCCTATAACTTTCTCACTCTCTGATATTCCTCATGATTTTTCTTTCTTTACCTCGTCGCTAATGCGCAGGTCCTCCTTTACTGTGATGTCATATCCCCCTCCGGATGACTGATCGCTGAAGATTGGACTGTTGTCGTTAACATCCTGTATCGTTACCTCTACGGGAACGACTGCTGTGAGACGATATGGACTGCCAGCGTCAGCTGCCTGGCAACACAAAAATGTTTGATATATCTTTGTTTGGTTTTCTGCATTGACAAACCAAATATTTCCGAAAGGCGCTTCTATATTTCAAGTAATTTTGTTTTACACATCAACCTATGTAATAAACACAGTATAAGAAATAAACGTGCTTCGCGACATTTAATAAAAAATGTTTTTTGTTGGTTAATTTACTAGCCTATGACTTTAAGTGAGCTTTGAATAAATGACACCATTTTGCTCTGCAATGTCATAATATTACTAGTACCTGCTTACATTGTGTTATTAGAATTAGCATAATTTCTCCTTGTTGAAACTATTAAAAACATTTAGTAGACGTTTTGAATATTAAGTAAATACTTAAATTACAACTTGTTCTCATTCACTTATTATTAACTTGACAACGCATACATGGTACTTACTTCTACAGAAAAATCGCAGAGCGCAAAAGCACCTTCTCGGTCCAGGTTTTTCTTCAATGTCATTACGCCAGTCGCCGAATTAATAGCAAAGTGACTGAAACAAGCTGTCCAATAACAATTTTCTTGTTAAGTTACGTGAATAATGACATTATAACAAAACATTTAGAAAGGTCCAGTACGTAATGTAAGCATTCAAAGAAAAAAACGTATTCCTAACTCATTTAATTCGGTCATCCGAAGATGTACTTGCATGGCAAATCTGGTTACTGCAGGTGCAGTAGTATAGAAGATATGTCCCGGACAAACCTTTTATATAAAGGGAATATAAAATAGATGAATGAAGTATCTTTTTTTAAGTCCTAAAGAAGAGAAAACAACACAAACATATGTTCTCCTTGGTGCAGCTTACCGTCAGATCCCACAATTGTATAGGTTATTTTTTGGTTGAGCCCCTCGTCCTCGTCTTTGGCGAGTACATTTACTATATTTGTATTGATGGGTATGTCTTCCTTCAGAATGCGGCGGTATTTATCAGTCGAGCCAAACGTTGGATGGTTGTCATTCATGTCAGTCACAGTCACAGTCACCTGTTAAATTGTAACACATTTGTGCGGTTATCGTACAAAAATACATCGATTTGAACTTATTTCTGAGGCTGCATAGAAACACACGGAGGAAGAACTTTGCATACCACACTTGATACCCAAACCTCAATATTGAATTTACACAGGGAGTGTCATTAGGACACATCGTTTAGATGTAACTCATAAATTCGGAATCGCTGAAGGCATAATTCTAACCTTTCTCTGAAATTTTGTATTGATAAATAGCCACGTCTTGGAGAACTCTGAAGAAGGGTTGTAACCATATGGTTTGAAAAGACCGTCCTCATGGGACCCTGGCTGTTGCGAGAACGGTAAACCACAAATAAACAAACAAGTGGTTTGCAAAGTTATGGACAAAGAAAAATCGACAGAAATAGAAGTAGGATAAATCCATAACAACCCTTAGGTAATCTAATTGCGCATAATTTGTACCACTGACAATCGTACAGTGGTCACCCAAATGTAACGAGAGATCTAGATGATTTTATACGATTATCACATTTGCTTAAAAACATTTATGTGGCCTATAAGCCATAGGAATAATTGTTAGTCTTAATATACAGTATTCATTAGGCCTCAAACAACCGAAACCAATTGCGCCGAACTAGATTTAGTTATAATAGGACATAAACTGTTGACACGTTTTGCGACTTGAAATGACCAACCATTGATTATCATGAAACCAACTACACATAACTGTATTTTCAATTTGCCGCTTAAATTCGATTCGGAACCAAATCTGAACATCAATATGGCCGCCATTGGCCATCTTGGATTATGTGAAAAAGCCAGTTGGTTTCCGCGCGGAATATTTTGAGTATAATGTCACTTTCTACAAATGTCTTTACTATCAATTTCCGGCTTAAGTTTGATTTCGGCCCAAATCTAAAAATCAACCAAGCTACCAGCGGAGCCATGTGTCACAATAACTTCCGTGGATCTTTTGTTTATTTCGATATAAAAGTGGTACCATTACAACACGTAATGCTAACACCGTTAGTATTCGGTCTCTTGGTGTTGCAGTACCAAATATGTAGATTTCTTCCTATAGTATATTCTTTAATGGGAAATAAAATTAAACCTATAACTTGTATCATTTTACATTAAGGACAGTTTTTAATTTATTGACTTATTATTGACATTTTTTACAAAGTATTGAGGAAACTTACTAGTGCTAAATCTGTGTCATCCTCAACGGTAGCACGTACAACAATTACGGTAGACTGAATCGCTTCCCTGTCAAACGGGTCTTCGACCTTGATGTTACCGGAAGATTCAACCTTCACGTTTTCAGCTCCTGAAACCTTGTCAAAAATTACCGTCTTGCCATTCTGGCTGGTCACATCACCAGACAACGTTCCTATATCTATATTTGGGATGTTTTCTGGAATAGACATTTGGATGTCTTGAAGATTAAATTTTACTTTCCCGGATGAGGAGTCGTCCTCCACAATTTCCAACGTCAGTGTGGCCGTGGAGGTAAGGGGGGGGTTGCCTTTGTCCATGGCGATCAGTATGACTGTGAGGTTCTTGATGGGTGGGTCGGATGTTTTAGTACGCATGACACCACTGCTATTCAGAGTGAGGCTAAGTCCAGTCGGCAAGGACATATTGATTGGCTTGTTTATCTGGCCATTCAGACCACTGTCTCGGTCTAGAGCGGTTACTACCATGATTGGTTTCTCAGCCTGACCGCTGAAATCCGACCTGTTATGGTTAAAGCAATATATGCATGTTAAATGATTAATAAATGCAGGGCTGTCTCTTGCAAATCAAAGTGAATACAACTCAATTCAGCTTCGTAAACAAATTCGATGAACAAGGTCGATATCATAAAAAATCGTGCACACTCTTGTTCAATAAATTAAAACAGACTAAACTGCGAGTGAAGAACAATTCTTAAGCTTTCCAAACATCATTGTTTTATCTTCAAAAAAAACAACACACACACTTAAAATTGTATTATATTCCAAGCTCTGTTTTTAATAAAGCTGACAATTTAAATTAATATCAAGTCTTCTGGTTAGTAGCATTTTTTTAAAATTATAATTATCTTGATATATACTCCACAAACCGAATGCAGAAACCACCATTACTCCAGTTTGTTTCCATTATAAAGCCACTTAACACTTATAAAATATTTCAAATTATTTTAGTAAAGTGGATTTATTAGTGCTTTAACCCTGTCCTACCCTCCTTTCTGGGTTTTGACAAAACGGACCCTAGTAGTATAATAACCCATATCAACTCACTTTTTTATTTTGATGTAGTGGGCTCCAGTAGAGATATCTTGTGTGAAGTAAGGTGCGTTGTCGTTTACGTCCGTTACTCTTATGGTGACCGTTGAAGAGCTGCTTCTTGGAGTTTTTCCATTATCCTTTGCTACTGTAACCAGTTTATATTCAGTTGTAGTTTCGTAATCTAAATTCTTGTCACAACGAATAACTCCATCGTTATCAATAGAGAATATTCCATCTTCATTACCACTGAAACATAAAGCATCATATAGTGCACTATATAGTTGATATTAAAACAAAAAATAAATACAACTAGGATTCAAATTAATACCTCCACAAGATCACCCTCGCTTACCTGATGAAGTTGTAACTGGCTATATCCCCGTTCACACCCTCATCTTTGTCAGAAGCTGAAACATTAAACAACGAAGAACCAATCGACTTGTCCTCCGGTATGTCCGCTATAAGAGCTGCAGAATCAAAGACTGGGTCATTGTCGTTTACATCAATGATTCTCACCACCATCGTTGTGGTCACACTGCGGAGTGGACTTCCGTTATCACGTGCTAGTAAGGTGAAGTTATGAAATGGAATTGTTTCTCTGTCCAGTGAATGTGCAACAGTAATTTGTGCAACAGTAATTTTTCCCGAGAGTCTATTGTCTATTCGGAAGTAACCGGAGTCTCCTTGGATTCTGTAAAATACTCGGCCATTTTCGTCTTCGTCCAGATCATTTGCTGTTACCGTGGTGACAACATTTCCGATTGATGCTCCCTCACTTATACTCGTTGACCTCCTTGATGAGAAAAATATAAAAAAAGTTATAATAAAACTGTGAAAATGAAAACTATTAGTTACCATTTACAACATATTTGTATCGGTATATAGTTCATCTATATTTCGAAAAAAGTCTGTCCAAAGAAACAAAATATTTTCAACTGTTTATTTTTAAGAGATTGCATTGCAATCTTTCACACAATTTCTAGCAGTAGTTCTAGTTCTACGATACAGTGGCACCTTCAACTAATTGATTTTTTTCACAAAATTGGGTGTATTCAGCACAAATGATAGACTATATGTATTACACAATAATTTAAAATAAGTATCTAATTAGTTATTCAGAGGATAAGGTAACAAATTGAAGTAAGGCGGGTTTGGGTTTGTACTGACAGATACAGTCTGAGCTAGCAATTAATTATCAAGTAACTTTACAGTAGAAAGAGAAAAAGAAATGAAAGAACTATGTCAATGACCCAGTTTTGAACAAAACATATCCAATTATTGCAGCCAGAGGAATTTGCCTACACAATTGCCATTAATTTGTGTTATATGAACCTGTATATAATATATATTTCCCAATCGGACAAAAATAATTCGCAAAAGACATTTAATTTGCTTTTCGCTCTACGACATTATTACATGTATATAGATTGATTATAGATGTTCAATGATTAGTCAACAATACACGACCTACCAGTCTCCTGACGTGAAATCGAACGTTGGTGTATTATCATTGATGTCAGTCACCGTGATGTTTATGCTAACCGACCCTGTGTTTACACCATCATCAGCCGTGACGACAAGGGTTACAATATCGATCACCTCACGATCAAGTTCTGAAATTGTTGTTATCACACCCGTCTCTGGGTGTATTGCGAAATTACTACTGGCTATTGCGAAGGTAAAAGAAGGATTTTCATCGGCGTCAGTAGCAGTGATGCCACTATCGACCTGAAAGAAAGCACGATGCAGAGGATATGACAAATGAAAAGTTAAATAAACAAGTTAAAACAATTAGAAAACGAAGGAAAATAACATTATTTATTAAAAAAATCGGAGGTCTTGCATGAACAATATATGGTGTAGTGGTGAATCTTCCCCCTTTACACACCTTAACAGTCCTTCCAGTAGAGCTACCTTCCTCTATTTTTCCCGTGTACTTTGAGCGCTCAAACACAGGCGCATTGTCGTTGACATCATCCACTACCACTTCAATATCTCCAAGTACCTGTTGGAAAGGAAACAGAAATAGAGATTGTTTTATCCAAGTTGGTGAAAATATATGTGAAAACCATCCAGGAAAAAACATCCCTGAATGATTTGTTAGTCACAGACCCAAAGGAATATCAACTTCTTTTGTCTCTAATCTACCCTCCCTGATGACATTTCTAGTTTAGTGGTCAGCATATCTTGTGTTCTTGTCAGAAACAATCCATTTCAGTTTTGATGACATTTTCGCTTACTAATCTCTTCATTAATTTTTAATTACAAGTTCATTTTTTGTGTGTATGTGATATGACTATGAACCACCAATATCATTATAATAAATAAGACAAATACCTTGATGAAATAAATCGTCCAAGACAGGTAAAAGACTCACGGTTAGAGAACAAGAAGTCTCACTGCTCTTGAATGCTGTTATTGCGAACTGCAGCTTTTGTTCATTCTGGTTTTCTCTATCCAGTCTTTTCTTTGTTAGGACTTCCCCCTGCATACCACATCAGCAACTTAAAAATCTTTTAAACTACGCATTACAACAAATTTCAATAATTGGTTTATTCATTAAAATAATCGTTTGAAAAAACATGAATTTTTAAATTGCTAAAAGACACCATAACTTATTTGGTACTTAATGAATGATTATATTAAAAATTATAATATTATAACAAATTTCAATTTCAATTTCTTCATTAACATCATCGTTCAAAATACATGACATGTTAAACTGCTCAAAGACACTAGAACTCATTTGGTATTTTATGGCTGATTTTCATAAAAGCCTGAATTACATATATCTTAATAAAATGGAGTGGGTCAAAAAGTAATAACAACGGTAGCTTCCCGAATAACCCTGGATCCTTAATAAAATGAGGATTGAGGGATTACCGTAGTTTGGTTGATTGTGAAGTATTCCTCGGCTCTGCTACTCGCAAACTCATAACTGATGAAGCCGCTGACATTAGCCCTAACCACAGGTGTACCTGGGGGCATGTTTTCAAATACATTGGCAATGAAATTCAACCCTAGATTAGTGCCAGGTTGTCGAGACAGGTTCACAATCACGTCAGCCGTGTTGTCCTTTACTCCATCACTTGCTGTCACGTTTATAAGTATGTTTGCCGAGTATTTTGACTCTCCGCTTATATCCCGAAATGGTATAAGTTCTGTTCTAGCCAATGTCTGTATGACGCCTTGATGGTTAATACTGAAGAACGAACTGTCAACACTGTAGGTCAGAGTTGTCATGGTGTCGATATCAGTTGCCTGGACTACACCCACCAACAGACCTGACAGAGAGGTGGGAAAGATGTCGAACGAGTATGTTGTGTCTGAAAATTGAGGCGGGTTATCATTGACGTCCGTTATGTGCAGGACTACTTTGGTTGAAGCCGTCATTGAACACACACTGACTTCAATATTGAAAATGATCGGCGACAGGCCACTCTCAAAGTCGAGACCACCGGGTCCAATGCTTACGTCAGAGGACCCAAGTGTCAAGTTTGTAAGTGGTATATCTGAAGATGCTAATGTGAAAGGATCTGAAATTGAATATTCGATTACTTTTGACTTTGTGTTTTCTCTTTTCGTTACGACCATTGATGCTCTAATGATAAGTACTTTGAGCGTTAAGATTTTAGAGCCGTACGTAATGTCAAATGTGTCCAGGTAGGCTGTAATGCTGGACTGTCCAGTAATGGTGGTCAGGCTGATGGCGATTTTAGAGTACACATTTTCTCCAGATAACCGATATTTCACTGACTCTGGGGCATTATACGAATCTCCTGACCGCAACGTTGGTAACGTGGCCAGTAACTGCCCAGAAAACATCCCGTCAGCAACAGTGACACAAAGTTCTGTTGGTATCGACACATCTGACCATGTCTCCAATATGGCCACTATTTTGTCAGCGACCACCAGGTCACTAAACGCCATCTTGGTTTGAATACCCAAAGCAAAACTTGCATCTGAACTAGACAATGCAGAATCCAGGATCACGGTCACTGCAGAACAATTTACTTCATACCGGAAGTTATTCTCTGTAAATGCCTTTATAAAATTGACTTCCGGTACATCAGTACATAGATTCGCGACGTCATTTGCGAAAGGGATGGTAAAAACTGAAAAGGTAAGAGCATAGATAACATTTCCAGTTATTCCATTATATTGCCTCTTTCAAACAGATTTCATGGAACAATTTGCTACGCTCTTTCTCTGTAATTGTAGGTTTTTTTTCAGTGTAACAGTATATCTAGTTAAACATATAAAGCAATGCATCTTAAGTTATGATTGTGTAACCGTTTCTTATATCTATATCCATATAACAGTTTATCTTTGGTTGTAATACTGTTATGGTCAACAATGAAGCACGTGAATTAATTCTCAGTATAGCTTACATGGACAAGTGTCGTTTGACCTTCATCATTAAAACAATTACAGACGTGTATTATTTACAACAAAAAGGTGTACCCTTTTCAAAGATATTAAGTTTGAAAACAAATTTGTCAAAGACTGGTGAATATTGATAATGTATGAAATAACAAGAGATACCTTTTTATGAAATTTTACTGTATATTGAATACATAGTATCTGAATAGTCGACTGCTATTGAAATTTGTTCAATTTGTTTGCAGGTTTTAACCACCAGAGGGCACGTTGTTGTAAGTATTGCAACAATTTACAAATAATTACAACAGTGACAAAAAAGCAGATTGGTGAAAGGGGTACAATCTTTACAGGTTTAGGTATCCTTGTTCTAGCTCCAAGTGTGCTTTTGATGTTTGGACGTTGCAAAGATCAACGTAAAGATTTAACTAGTTTCAAATGAAATGGACTGATGGTAAAAGGAAAATATGTTTGTAGTTAAATATATACATTTAAGGTATGTACTTATCTCTATATGAACAGTATATCTATAATTATCTACAAATACTATGAAGTTTACTTACTTGGTGTTCCAACAGGCTTTGGTACTTGCAGGGACACGGTAAGGTTCGGATAGGCGAACAGGACCTTTGGTACTGCAATGCATAAGCAAAAGAAGAATTCAAAACTTAACTACACAAATGAAGTTGTTTTTGATGCATTAAAACTAAGATGTAATAAAAAAAAAACACCAAGATACTGTAGCATAACATAATAGTATTTAACTTACAAACCAAAAAAGATCGAGTATGTTGTCTTCATTAGGACCATTGACATGTTAATCCAATAATCAATAAGCATCCTCCTCAACCTATCGATTGTCATTTTATAATCTGCAAAGTTCTAGATAAAAATATACTACAATGTACAAAAACATATTTTTATATTGTGGTAATTTGATTGATTTGGACCTTTGATCCCAATGTAACTAGGGCTTCTTATCACGAGTAATCATCCAGTGCAATTTGATAATGAAGCTGGTCCTGAAACTGTTCACAGACTGGCGGCGGATAAGGGGATTATCTACAGTATCTAATCTCCGTAACGTAGCTATCACAAATCAACGTATAGTTCCTGGCTATGGAAATATGTTCATTTATGCGTGAGATAAGGATAATATTTAAATGAAAACCTAAATCAAAAGTTATTCCATCATTAGTATTTGTAAAGTAGAAAAAAATCGAAAAAAAGCATAAAAGCATATTATTTTTTTGGTTTGTCATGGGCATTTTTAAGAACTTTGTTTCCAACGAACCAAGTAACTCGTCACAAAAAATAGGAATTTGATACTGTGTTCGGTTACGCATTCAAGACGATTTCTAATGTTATTTGTAGGAGAAGATAAATAGGATATTCTAACCACATCAACATGAACGAAACACCTACCAGGCGTGCAGCTTCTCTGATCCTTAGTTTGGATGAAGCCTGACTCACAACGACAGCTCCATTCCCCAAATCTTTCCACACATGCACTGTTAGGTGTTACACAGACGCCTGTTTCACTGTGGTCACCACAGCGACCGTTGAGAAGGATGTCTGTTCTGTTGGACCCGGTTTTAACGCAGGGAACTTGGACTAAAATAGAAACCACAAATCTCTCTGTAGTTTGTATGCAGCCAAATAAAGACCGTACAAAAGAAGTATATTAATCAGGATACGCTATTTTAGCTATGTTCTAAATGATTGGCTCACGGATGCAGCATGCTATAACATAACTACTATAAATCTAATATTTCTTTAGCTTGATCGAAAAAGCACACAGTTAACATACAGTTTGAACATTCTCATGAACAGCTGTGTGGCGATTCCCCAATGAATATTCAACAGACTATAATATGCACTTTTTAAACATTTATGATCGTTTGCAACATAGCTCCGATCAAACTTGTTCTATACACGCAGTTGATTTCCTAGAACAACTTGATAAAATGAGAGAGAAAAACAAAGAAATGTCGCTTATACAATGCTGTTGAGTATACCTTAGTTAATCGCCAAAATCTGTTTCATGAGAGAAAATGCAATAGAAAGTAGGTTGAAACATTTGAAAAAAAGACCATCTATGATTAATGCTTATGTATCTTTTTTTTATATAAGCATTATATGGTCAACACCTGTACAAATCAGCCCACTAAAATACTAAACGAGTGTATGTGGTCGTTTTGATGCTTAAAAATAAACAGAGACTACGTTATTCTCAACCTAGAAATGAACTGACTATCCATTCCACATTCTTATGAAACAGTTTTCAAATGATCAATCATCTACCGATTTTATCATTCTATTGTTCTGAATATTTCATATTTTTGAAACTTATAACTGTTTAAATATTCTAATTTCTAAAACCTTTCTAAATTAACTCGTTTGCTGTAAGATCTCAATAGAGATAGATTTTCGTCAATTTTTTGGAAAACTTATGATTATGCACATTTTTCTCTTGGATTCTATTGTCATTTTGGAGAGAAATAAAATAGCATATGCAACGAAACATATTTAATTCTCCGAGAAATTATAAAATATGTTAACTAAGTAATCTCGTTTAGAGCGTGATCGAAAACCAAACGATAATAGTGAGAAGTGCGAGGTAAGCTACATAATTCAATCGTATAGATATATATTATTTAAAGCGTCCTTGCTTTCCAGTTTCATAGTATAAAAATACTGTACCTGATTCATTGAAATTGATAGAGTTGGGGTCTATTTTTACGATGAAAGCCAGGTTGTTGAGCTCAGCCTTTTGACCATTGACTACAGCTGTTTTGAGTGCCTCTGGTGTGACGGGGCTTGATAGGGTCACTTCGTAGTCTACATTTACACTTCCTTCCCTACAAAATACAGTTTATATGTTATACGAGAATAGATTTTTTTTCTGGATTTAAGTAAAGTATCTTACATCCGACTGCATGCGCGTGGCATTACCATTGTGAAAAAACCCTTTGAAGTACAGGTCACAAAATCGGGTAAAAATTCCGATGCTGCAATATGGTAAGTGCCGACAGGAAATTTAATCTTATACACAAATCGAATAGAATATCAACTTTTTTGTGTTGTTTCAAACAGAGGGATGTTCAATTAAATTGTTATACTCACATCAGTGACATGAATGGAGGATGATTCGAAATATTCCCAGAATACATTTTCTCATCATTGATGAGAGCGAAATTATCTAATTAACGTATTATTGGTACGTATGTAATTAATTTACATGTTTGCAATTATTATGTCTTAATCAATAATATATATATGGAATTTTAGCCCTCATTACAATCAGAAATCTTTCAAAAGCTTATTATTTACAATTAGGAACGAAATTGGCCAAGAGATACAGTCCCAGTTGTGTCCGGCTTGGAACAAGTGTACTATAGTTAGGAACAGTTATCTTAAATGTTGTTGGGTAATTTTGTCTTTTTTTCATTTCAGAGTACCTCCATTGCTATCATTCCTTAAATTTTATTGTGTAATTTTGTCTTTTTCGTTTTAGATTATCTTCATCGGTCACATGCCTAAAACGTTGTATAGGGCTTATGAACTTCTGGTATTTGAGAACGATATTGTTTATTTGGAATACTTCGCGGAGTACTAGAAGTTGCCATGGCCGTGGACATCACATTAATGGCTGGTAGTACATGTAACACATTATGGATATCTAAATAACAATAACAGGGGTACATCTAAATCAAAAGCATCATATATCAAACTATTAACATTATCGTGTATCCAGGTAAGAAATATAAGTAACTAAAGTCGGAAGCGTACCTAAAGAAGAGAAACCCTGTGATAGTTTAAACTAGTATTCACTGCTGCTAATAAGCAGTTTTTCTGTAACAGATAGCCCGCGGGCAATCTGCAGACTTTATTCCTGCAAAATGATAGTTTGAGGTGTGCTAGTAATATAACGTAGCGGACAACACGCAAGAAACAACTGTACACAAATGTCACTTACGTAAGCCGTAATAGCACAACAGCCAGTAACGTGTTACCAAGGGACGCTTGGAGGATTATTTTCAACTGAGAAAGAAAAATGAACATATCATGCGCATGTATGGCTTACTGTGAATGGAATTATCTGAGCAGACATGTAACTCTTTTTAAGTTGCATAAATATGTGAGCTAGTATATGCACAACGTACTGTGTACACACTGATCAGTGATAATCCAAATAGCTTATTTAAATGTTAACTAATTTATATCAATTTTAGGTATAATTTAGAGCTTTTTTTCTTTTTTAATCCACACAATTAGGAATCACCTTGAACAAAGAAAACTTAGATGAAGTTTCAGTTTAATGGACCAACGGCAACTTTAGAAAAAATGAATATGAATCTTTACGTCTGCCACAATACTTTTAGCAACGTTACTGTTCGGGTCATTAATTAAATGAAGTTTCAGATTAATGGACCAGCGGCAACTTTAGAAATAATGAATATGAATCCTTACGTCTGCCACGATACTTTTAGCAACGTCACTGTTCGGATCATTCATTTCTATTGTAAACTGCTGGATAAGAGTCAGGCTACATTCATATGTCTTCAGTTCAGGCTCGTTTCCCCCTGGAAAATAAATTGTATTAAATCAAAGAACTTTCTCTTAATATAAAGACAAAATACAGAGGTCAACAGCAAAACAGGTGTAGGTAAGAGATGTTCTATAGATGTAGCAAACTAGATCTCCTTCTAAATAACTCATTGTTGAAAAAAGCGAAATAAAAAACTGTGAAAACCACCATGCTTAGAAGGAAATTATTTTCGAATTCTTTAAAATGTCATGAAGCTAAAAAGCTAAGTAAATTTCCAGTACGTACTCGGAGTGCAGGTGCCATCAGGCTCAGCCCCGTTGGAGTCGTAGAAGCCCGTCGTACACACACACTTTTCATTGCATTCAGAATCCGCCGTTTCACATTCTCCTTTTACATTGTTACACGCCGCCCCGAGACCAAGTTCTGTTTAATAGTGAATCACACATTACGTCAGTTAGAAAGAATGGAAATAGTGCGAGACATTAAAAAGACTGTGAAATGTTTGTACACTTACTTAGTAACTTCAGGCTAATCAATGAGATCGAACAGAAGGCAAAGTCCTTATGTCACTTTGGAAAAGATTATATCTTTTTATCTTAAACAATATGTTGATTTTATTTACTGGTACAATATTATTAAAAGGATTCTGTAAACATTCGGAAATAATCTATGGGTAGAAAAAAGTGTTGTAATTCCGAATGGCAGAACAAGTACTGTAACCTAATGGCAGAACAAGTGCTTTAAACCTACGGGCAAAACAAGTATTGTAAACCTACTTGCAGAACAAATGCTTCCAACTTCGTAGAATCCTGCGGTACAGACACATGTGTCGCTGTCTCCACATCTGGCATTCTGATCTGCACACTGGTCTGACACGTCGGAGTCACAGCTTCCACCAAGAGCTAGCTCTGAATCGAAAATGTTAGCAACTCATTTACACAATTTGTATTGGGAAAGTAAAAGTTGTGACTGTTATATTCAGATATCGGTACATTTAAGATAAAAAAAATGTAGAGCACATGCAAAAATCACAGGCATCACATCAAAATCTCCTCAGCAAGAGAATTATTGCTTAATTAGGATCACTTCTAAAATACTGATATCTGAAAGGTCATAACTACATGTACATTTCTAAAATATTTTTCTACTGAAATAAGACATTACCCCTTAGTAGAAATACACTCCAAATTATTATTATAGGAACAACATGTTCTTATGTGAGCTTTATATATTGAAACGAGTAATGACAGATATTGTTTCGACAAACAATCGAATCGACCGAATAGAACTGCAATACCTCAACTTACAAGTAGTCAGTTAACTCAACTTATAGATATAGTTGGTTGTCCCTACCAATCAGAGCCCACAGAAAACATTTTTGAAGTAATTTCAACTTTTAAAATTTCAATGTAAAGTATTCTATCTTTGGGTCCTTCCCATGGGTATGATGTAAGTCAATCACACTGTAATAATGTATACGTCTGTCAATCAGGGGGAAAGGAAGAAGGGTTGGGTACTTATAGTGTGTCTTCAAGCATCCTTGGCCGTTGGGAACATTATTATTACCATTGAAGTAAACAGTAAACAGTAAACAGTATATGACGTACGTGCTGCACAGATTCCGCCGGGGCTCCTGTAGAAACCTTCTTTACAGCTACACGATAAAACACCTTTTCCTGAACAATCAGCGTTCATGTCGGCACATTGATCGGGTATTCCAATAGAACAAGTCTGACCAAGTGCTAGCGCTGTGAACATTAAACAAAGTTGACAGGTAGGAGTAGAAATATATAGTCAAAGATGACATATAATGATAATATACAGCACTTCTTAGTGCTCAATGTCATTTGGAAATTTACTCCTAGTGGTTTAACAGCACATGTAAAAGTATCATTCCAGATTCATGGAAGTGTTTATAATACATATATACTACATATTCTACCTGTGAATATGAGGTGATTTGGTATTTACCGGACAATTGTGACAAAAGAGGGCTATAAAGGTAGAAGTAGACAGTTTAGTAGTAGAAACCCTTGGAATTTTTAAGGGTTGTCAGCTCTCTGGTAGGAAATGGTAAACTGTTCCAGGAGGTTGCTGCTACCTTACCAAAACATCGGTTTATATAAGTCACGGTAAGAGATTTTCTGAAACATAGCCAGGATTCTGTGTCCGACGGCTGATAAATGGTGACAAGCTCCTGTATATACTTAGTTACTGTTCCAATCTGTGACATATACATGTGCCTCGCCTTTCTTAACTGTAGTCTATATCGTTAAGGTAACCGATCCAACACATACATGTATGTAGAAAACGTTTAACCAGACGTGTTGCAGTGTTCTGGACTCTCTGCGGAAGACTTTGATTAGTTTATCGTATTTATCACCGAGCAATGCATAATCGTGGTTCAGACGAGAATGTAGATTTCCCAAACGATGGATAAAAGGTTTCTTATAACCTTGCCGAAGATTGAAACAAAGTAGATTATATGTGCATTTCACATCGTTTATCCATATAAAACATTTAGAAAAAAATGTTTGGGTAATAAATGATGCCCTTAAATCCCTTTATTGGCAGGTAATGGGTTTAGGGAATTGTATTTTACATGTAATTAATAACGTGGGGATATAATACTTCATTAATGAGAATTGAGTGGGCAATACCTGGACAAACTTCCTGCTAGTTTAAGCCAAGAACCCATATTTCTCACAATCTTTTCACAATCTTTATTTTTAAATAATGCAACAGAAAGAAACTTTCAAAAAGGAGAGAGAAAGGAAAACTAAATAGCAGATTAGGATGCTATTACGTGTCGACAATGAGATAGGAGGTGTTTGTAGAATGTTTTCAATCCCAGTGTTGTGATAAATATGTTTTATATTTATTTCTTGAATCAGTAGTAGACGTCTGTCCAACTGGAAAAGACCAATGGTCCAGCACTGGCAAGCTCTTTCCTAAAATGTTAAAAAAATTCTGTGCATAATTATTTGCAACTTTTTTCTTATGGAATAATATTGAGAATTGAAAGATTAAATACTTACTACTCAAACAACCTCCAGCATCAGCAGCTCCGTTCGAGTCGAAGTAGCCATTTGCACATACACATGTTCCCTGCACGCACTCAGAATTAGATTCATTACATGCAGTTGGGGTGACGGTACAGTTAGCTCCAAGAGGAATTTCTATCAAAATATAGTTGTGCATATATGTGAATATACTTAAAATATTCCAGTTTAAGAACAGAGAACACTGATAAATGAAAAACATTCATGTATACTGATTATTGAAATACGATGTATATGTGGAGACACAAAACAGAGTGTACAGTGGCATTTGCGGTCACATTGAAATAATGATTAAAGCAGCAACATTTAAAATATAAATGGAAACATTGAATGAAGAATATACCCATGAAAATATTGACAAACCAATCCTATAAGCATTGGGTAGAAATCGATTAAAAATAAAACACATTCAAATAATTATGTTCCAAATATCAAATATGGATAACACAAGGCGAAATATAAAAAATATCACACTGAAAGCATTAAGAATTCTTAAAATACACAACTTAAAGCACATGCTTCATCTTTAAAGTCATAAAATAAACACTGATGAGGAAAATATAAGGAAACGCTTTAAATCAGACCGGTTAAATAAATACACCGGTGATGCAAATAAGGCATTTATTACGCACACATAAATATAGAAAATGCATACAAAAACATTACTAATGCACACTTAAACATTTTTTATATAAAATATAAAAGTAAAACATTGATAAAACAATAATAACGAAAGTAAAACAAAAAGAAAGCACAAAAACATTGCGAAAAGCAAATAAAACATTGATAATACATAGTAAAGTATTGATAATGAATACTTAAACATAGATGATATAAAAAAAAAAAAACCACATACAACATTGATAATACATAGTAAGTATTGATAATGAATACTTAAACATAGATGATATATAAAAAAACACATAAAACATTGATAATTCACAGAAGAATATTTATAAAGAACACTTAAACATAGATACTATAAAAAATACTAAAACATTGAGAAAGCACATTAAACATTGATAATGTGTACTACACGTTGAGAACACACACTGAAACATTAACTATGCAAACTTAAACATTGACTATACACAAGAAAACATTGATAATGAACAAAACATCAGTAATGCTGCTCAAATATGTTAATAAACACAAAAGTATTGATAAGCACACTACAACATTGATAACGCACACTTAAACACTGCAAACACACACATAAACATTGATAATATACACTTAAACATGGATAGAGAAAGCACACTTAAACACTGTAAACACACATAAACATTGATGATGCAACTTTGATATTGATAATATACAGTAAAATATTTATAATGCTAGTTAACATTAGTAATGCACACTGAGACACGACAAAAGTCTGAAATAATGCTTTGAAAAAAATGACTGTGCAAACGGTCAATGCTAATACCTACCTGTATCATGATATATACTCAAGCAAAACTGTGTTGTATACAAGTATGTTGTGTGTTAATATTTTAATGTACATTATTGTATACGCCCGCACACATTTCAATCACATCAGTTTAATTAATATATGCAAACAAACGCTTGGTTCAGAATGCCTCAATTAGGCCGAGTTTAGTATTTGTCCCTCGTTTTATATGTGGTAATGATAGTTGTAGGTTTAGTAGTGGTTATTGTTGGTGTGTATTCCGTAATGGAAACCGTCCTATTAGCTGGAAAAAGAATAAGTTATGATACGTATGCATGTAAAGTATACAAAGCAAGCGACGATTACCGCGATGGCAATCCACTCCAACCCGCTTATTACAACGAGAGTGCTACCACTTCGACGTATAGCGAAAGGATACATTACCTGGCATTGTAGTCAGAACTGGTGTGGTAGATGTAGTAGTGGGAGTGGCAGATGTGGTTGTGGGTGTGGCAGTTGTCGGAGTGGATGTGGAATTTGTGGTTGTAGGTGTAGCAGTTGGGTGTGGAAGTTGTGGTTGTGTGTGTGTTGGTAGTGGGTGTGGCAGTTGTGGTTGTGTGTGTGGTGGAAGTGGGTTTGAAAGTTTTTGTTGTGTGTGTGGTGGTAGTGAGTGTGGAAGTTGTGGTTGTGTGTGTGGTGTTAGCGGGTGTGGCAGTTGTTATTGTGTGTGTGGTGGTAGCGGGTTTGAAAGTTGTTGTTGTGTGTGTGGTGGGAATGGGTTTGGAAGTTGTGGTTGTATGTGTGGTGGGAGTGGGTTTGAAAGTTTTTGTTGTGTGTGTGGTGGTAGTGGGTGTGGACGTTGTGGTTGTGTGTGTGGTGGAAGTGGGTTTGGAAGTTGTGGTTGTGTGTGTGGTGTTAGCGGGTTTGGAAGTTGTGGTTGTGTATGTGGTGGGAGTGGGTGTGGAAGTTGTGGGTGTGTGTGTGGTGGAAGTGGGTTTTAAAGTTGTTGTTGTGTGTGTGATGGGAGTGGGTTTGGAAGGTGTGATTGTGTGTGTGGTGTTAATGGGTTTGACAGTTGTTGTTGTGTGGGGGGGGGGGGGGGGGGTAGTGGGTGTGGAGGTTGTGGTTGTGTGTGTGGTGTTAGCGGGTGTGGAAGTTGTGGTTGTGTGTGTGGTGGTAATGAGTGTGGTGGTAATGGGTGTGGAAGTTGTGGATGTCGGAATGGTGGTAGTGGGTTTGGAAGTTGTGGTTTTCGGTGTGGTAACTGTGGTTGTGAGGGTGGTGGTGGTACTGGTAGTGAATGTTGCAGTTTGTGTGGTAATTTTAGTTGTCGGTGTGGTATTGGCAGTGGTGGTGGTGGTTGTGGGTGTGGTTGGTTTCGGTGTTGTAATTGTCGTTTTATATGTGGTAATGATAGTTGTAGGTTTAGAATTGGTTTTTGTTGGTTTTTATTCCGTAATGGAATCTGTCATATTAGCTGGAAAAGAATAAGATATAAGACGCATGCATGCAAAGTATAATGGTAATATGTTTATACTCACAAATACCAACCTTACTGGCATTATACAACCGATGGCGTTAAAATCGCATACTCGTTTGGCTTCTCACGGTGGTGATATAATAGTTGCTCCACTCTTCCTGTGCCTGCTTTTTAGAAGTGGAAGACAAATCATAAAGCATTGTATACATGTGACTCACCTTGAATTTCTGTTGTGGTAACAAAAGTAGTCGTCGGTGTGGTAGTGGTGGTTGTGGTGGTTGTGGTGGTGGTAGGTGTGGTAGTTGTGGGTGTGGTAGTGGTGGTTGTGGGTGTGGTAGTGGTGGTTGTGGGTGTGGTAGTGGTGATGGTGGTGGTTGTCGGTGTCGCAATAGTGGTTGTAGGAGTGGTTGTGGTGGTTGTCGGTGTGGTAGTTGTGGTTGTCGGTGTGGTAGTGGTGGTTGTGGGTGTGGTAGTGGTGATGGTGGTGGTTGTCGGTGTCGCAATAGTGGTTGTAGGAGTGGTTGTGGTGGTTGTCGGTGTGGTAGTTGTGGTTGTCGGTTTTGTAGTTGTGGTTGTCGGTGTGGTAGTTGTGGTTGTCGGTGTGGTAGTGGTGGTTGTCGGTGTGGTAGTGGTGGTTGTGGGTGTGGTAGTGGTGGTTGTCGGTGTGGTAGTGGTGGTTGTCGGTGTGGTAGTGGTGGTTGTCGGTGTGGTAGTGGTGGTTGTCGGTGTGGTAGTGGTGGTTGTCGGTGTGGTAGTGGTGGTTGTCGGTGTGGTAGTGGTGGTTGTCGGTGTGGTAGTGGTGGTTGTCGGTGTGGTCGTTGTGGTTGTCGATGTGGTAGTGGTGGTTGTCGGTGTGGTCGTTGTGGTTGTCGGTGTGGTCGTTGTGGTTGTCGATGTGGTAGTGGTGGTTGTCGGTGTGGTCGTTGTGGTTGTCGGTGTGGTAGTGGTGGTTGTTTGTTCAGTGGTAGAAGTGGTTGTCGGTGTGGTCGTTGTGGTTGTCGGTGTGGTAGTTGTGGTTGTTTCTTCTGTGGTTATAGTTGTGGGTTGTGTTGTTGTAGTTGTAAGTTCTGTGGTTATAGTTGTGGGTTGTGTTGTTGTAGTTGTAAGTTCTGTGGTTATAGTTGTGGGTTGTGTGGTTGTAGTTGTGGGTTGTGTTGTCGTAGTTGTAAGTTCTGTGGTTGTAGTTGTGGGTTGTGTGGTTATAGTTGTGGGTTGTGTTGTTGTAGTTGTAAGTTCTGTGGTTATAGTTGTGGGTTGTGTTGTTGTAGTTGTAAGTTCTGTGGTTATAGTTGTGGGTTGTGTGGTTGTAGTTGTGGGTTGTGTTGTCGTAGTTGTAAGTTCTGTGGTTGTAGTTGTGGGTTGTGTGGTTATAGTTGTGGGTTGTGTTGTTGTAGTTGTAAGTTCTGTGGTTATAGTTGTGGGTTGTGTTGTTGTAGTTGTAAGTTCTGTGGTTATAGTTGTGGGTTGTGTGGTTGTAGTTGTGGGTTGTGTTGTCGTAGTTGTAAGTTCTGTGGTTGTAGTTGTGGGTTGTGTTGTTGTAGTTGTGGGTTGTGTTGTTGTAGTTGTAAGTTCTGTGGTTATAGTTGTGGGTTGTGTTGTTGTAGTTGTAAGTTCTGTGGTTGTAGTTGTAGCTTCTGTTGAAGTTGTCGTTGAACTATCTGAAACAAATACAGTAATTTCTAGTTAACATTAATTGTCTAGCCCTGACGCTTATGATACCACCTATCTCAATTTTTTTTTAAATGAGTACTCACCGATACTCACCTTCCCACCATTCGGGAGACCTTCGACTGCTGAAATGTACTGGTATATACATACCTGCATGTATAACTGTATTTGCCTCCCATTGTCTGTTACAATCTGAACTTATCAGTTCTAAGTGTGCTTGTATGTTCTGTCATGATATCGCCTCCAATGGTCTGTCGAAATTCCATCTCCATTCGACTATTATAATTTCAACCCCAACAACCTCTGTCGCAATTTTTCTTTTCAGTCTCGCTTTCCATTCTCTGTTGTGATTTCTCCTCCTTCCTGTCGTGATAATTAATGTAATACCGTTCATATTTTAGCAAAAGCAGAATGATCAAATTGAACAATGAACTTTCAATTGAACCAATCTTAAAATCTTAAAACATTTCTTTATATATAGGAAGGTTCACTGGCATAACAGTGAAAATGTCATAAATACTAGCGACATCAATCTTGGCAAAATTGACTGACATCTGTATGGTGTAAACTAACGAAACGTGTCATCAAGAATACCATCAGGTATCATGAAAACAAGAGGACCAATGGGCATGCATCGTGTATGTATTATTAAGTAGTGTATATTTTTAATGTTGTGAGGATCTTAATGGCGTTTCAAACCAAATTAAGTTAAGTATAAATGCTTTAGACATAGTGTGATTGAACACATATTCGCTATTTCCCTTCTATTGTTCTGTACCTATTTGTACAACATCAAATCACTTGTGTCAAGTGCTTTAAGGTAAATGTTCCATCCATACCTGTGTATCTCCCACACTGGGAACGGAGGTAGATTCACAATGCTGGGAATATCTGAGGACTGGATACCTACACCAGGCCAAGACCATAACGTCACCTGTGTTGATATAAATCTCATAAAAGGGATTTTACCGTTCACCACGCGATCTTCTTCGGGTACAACCCAATCCTGTGGTCGACGGGGAAATTGTCACCTGTCTTCTCTCCAATTATCTACAAATGGGAAACAATATATAAAACAAGGTAATCGTACAAGTCAGTTTCTATAACAACATACGTATAAGCTAATTGTATTAATTATATATCTATGTACTGTAAAGCGCTTTAGAATGGCTTATGTTAGCTTATTATTATACGTCATACGAGAGTTCCTCTAACTTCTAACCTCGACCAGAATATAAATCGTAGTCTGTTTTATATACTTCTATAAAATATTGTCAGCATACACATGTTGATGATATTAAACCTAATAAAGGTCTACATTACAATGCTAATTGTTGTCCTAGCCCACCAGACAAAAGACATAGAAATACAGTTTGGCTGTGTATTACAAACTCCATTCATTCTTACGCTATGTACTGATATTGTAAATACAGTTTGGCTGTGTATTACAAACTCCATTCATTCTTACACTATGTACTAATATTGTACATTGAAATTGATTGCGGTTGAAATAGCTCTGAAATCTGAACATATTTACAGCTGACATTTAACATGAACTAACGGTCTGTATAACTTTGATAATCACATCACGCATAATAAACGGTCTGCATAATTATCTTTATCATTACAGACTTGCCTGTATTCCGTCTTTGCTCTCTTGAGAGCAGGTATTGATTGTTACGTCATTTGTTTGTGAGAGTAACGTCATCATTTTTTGAGAAAACGACGTAATTTGCTCACACAAACCAATGACGTAACAATCAATACCTGCTCTTAAGAGAAGATAACTCAATACGCAAAGACGGAATTAGAGTGTGATCGACGGAAGGTCATTGTATTTTCTTCACACTCTTATACAAGCAGGTCTAAGCACACTTCAGGTCACAACTGTTGTAAAGAGACCACAAACACAAACAATTACCACTGATGTGGTGGTAGTAACATAAAACGTGAGCTAGAATTACAAGTCCTCTGAGCAACAATTCATCTTCAACTCAGTTTCATCAAACACATTAATTAAAAACATCAAACAATAATAGGAAGGTATCTTAACAAAATCGATAGAGTTACTATTTATCATCATGTGTTAAACAGTTATAGTGAAATCAATGTAAAAAAAAAAGAAATCAGGAAATCGTTATCAGTTTTATTTAATAGGAATGGAAATGGTACTACAGCGGTTCAAAGGTACGCTCTCTTCAAATTGGACAGTTTATCACTTTAGCTACTACAAAAAATATACTGATCATTATCTGACTTACTTCACATAGTAACACAGCACAACCTCGAAAGTATGTCCCTCTTTTCATATGCCACCTAATTCATTACCAACATATTTAAATGTCCCCATTTCACTCAATTTCTTAAGAATTCCCCTTAAATTTATCGCCAAACCCCTGTATAACGCCACAAATCATTAGTCAAACTAAGAAGATATACCGATTTCAGAACAAAGTACAGTGAATAAGACAAGAACCAATGCTATTTTCTTGCTTTAAAAGTAAAATTGGTATGAGTTTCTAGTATCTAAAATTAATTATATAAGATTAGTTACCCCAATTTCACCATTTTCATCTCTATAAATGCAGACACTGACATGCCAATGTTTTCCCCTTTGGCCAAACCAGTCTGTCTGCTTCTCTCTATATCTCATTGGTAGAAACTTCATAGCCCAGTCCATCACCAAAACTCAAAGCGCTTTAAATTCTCCAGCTTTTGTATTCTAAAACGATCCTGGTTAACGTTTCTTACAATATGAGCTTTCCAGTCATGGATTTTCTGTATTGCGTCCTGGTAGTTTTTGCCTGTATCTTCTTTAAAGTCATCATCTCCCATCTTGTCAATATCTTTGAACACATCATTCTCAATGCCATGTAGAAGTTCACACCTATCACACACTAATGTATGAATGTGTTCACAGGGACATTGAAAATGACAGTTTTCAGGGTCACTCAAAAGCCACTGAAGACAATGATCAGCAAACAGACATTCTTTCTCCAAATGTAGTTTATAGTCTGAATTCACTGGACAAAAATGATGTCAGTATACATCATTTTTGCTGTGTACAAGATATAGAAACATAGTAAGATTTCTATGGTGATGGTCACTTTTGACAGAGGGTGTGTCCGTCAGTGACAGATGCTGGTCAGTACTACTTCTCCTTAAATACTATATAGATACTACTGGAACAGCCTCCCAACCTTCATCGCCGACAGTACAGACCTCTCAACACTGAAGGCAAATCTCCTCTCTCACAAATTCTAAGCGTACATGTTGTTTTTATCATATAGTTCTAAAAAATAAAAATAAAAATACTTGTTTTTAACCGATCTCTCTGACGCCTCTAAATAATGTTCAGTATATTGAACGTTTTAGAGTATCCTGTTGAAGTTGAAGGTAGATCAGTATCACAATCTGCATTCTTCATCAGTTTGAAAGGTAGAGGTTAACCTGGGTGGTTTTTTTCAGAAACATTTTTGTGCAGAATGTCCCTTTAGACAAATCTATAGAAGTAACTGTAACTGATATGATAAAAGCGGATATAAAAAACCCAACAATAACAAAATAACACAAAACAAGCAATACATGTCCCCTACCGGCCCCCGCAATCTATTAAGATGCAACAGTGACCTCAACCTAGATCCGAGGACCTTGAAACTTGAACTTGTCCAATATATTGATTTTTTTTACAATAATGTGAAGTTTGACTAAAATCCATGAAAGAATGAGGCACTAGAGTGCTGACAAAGATTTTCTAAAATAGTAATAGTGACCTTGTCTTGCCCCGATTACCTTGAAATTGTCCAAGATATTTAAATTCTTTACAATAATGTGAAGTTTGATTAAAAACTAGGAAAGAATGAAGGCGCAAGAGTGCTGACAAACTTCTTCGGACAGACAGCGAGGAAAACTTTAGGTATTCTTGTTTTCTTCTCCCTCCCTGCCACCCCCACCCAGTTTCACCGGTAAGGGAATAAAAATACTAAGAAATCTTATTTGTTGATTGTAAAGGTATCTTTACAAGTGTGTGAAGTTTGATAAACAGGCAAGGAAGAATGTTAAATAAAATTTTCTATTTATAGTAACTGTGACCTTGACCATTTGACCTTAAAACTCGAACCTGTCCAACTCAAACTTGTCGAAGATATTTTAATTCTTTATGAGTGTGTGCAGTTTGATTAAAATCCATGAAAGAATGAAGACACTAGAGTGCTGACAAAGATTTTCTATTTATAGTAACAGTGACCTTGACCTTGATCCGATGACCTTGAAACTCGAACTTGTCAAAGATATTTTAATTCTTTATGAGTGTGTGAAGTTTGATTAAAATCCAAGAAAGAATGAAGACGCTAGAGTGCTGACAAAGATTTTCTATTTATAGTAATAGTGACCTTGACCTTGATCCGATGACCTTGAAACTCGAACTTGTCGAAGATATTTTAATTCTTTATGACTGTGTGAAGTTTGATTAAAAACCAAGAAAGAATGAAGACGCTAGAGTGCTGACAAAGTTTTTCTATTTATAGTAATAATGACATTGACCTTGATCCGATGACCTTGAAACTCGAACTTGTTGAAGATATTTTAATTCTTTACATGTGTGTAAAGTTTGATTAAAATCCATGAAAGAATGAAGGCTCTAGAGTGCTGACAAACCTCTTCGGACAGACGGACAGACGGACAGACGGACAGACAGACAGACGGACATACAGACAGACGGACGGACGGACGGACAGACGGAGGGGAAAACTATAGTCCCCCCGGTTTCACCGGTAGGGGACTAAAAAGGACAATACATATAAATAGAATCATTCTTCGCTATACTTAAGCCCATTAGTCCCATAACTCATATATCTTCATCGTGTCATTACACCATTATGTTCCTTTGTCGATACAATGACTTACAACAAGTTAAAAAAAATACAGAATAAAAAGATTTTCTGTTGGGATGATATAAATGCCAGTGTTAGTTTACAGTCTATTTGTGGATGAGGTGCTATACTGCAGTCGAGGTCACTTAACTTTAAATATTTACATAAATGATACTTAAGTGTTTAGAGATCTCTATCAATATCACGTTACGCAAAAACATTCTTTCCGGAAACATACCGTTGGTGAGCTATGTTTAAATCACTAATTAAGGAAATACTTAAATATGTACTTAACTACTCTGATGTCTGTAAGCCTATCTAACACACTATGGGAACATATCGTCTTTTAAACGCCCTTTAGTCCTTTAATGGAAACAAATATTTCATTCCATGTTTAATCTAAATTAAAATCGGCTTGCGTGTGAAGTCAGTAAACTATGACACCATAGTGACAATCAAATCAATAAGAACGATTACGTTAGATCGGTTAATACATGTACAAACACACACTGGTCCTCTGAGTCATACATTTACCGTACAGTGGAGTACATGTACAAGAACTGGGGTCAAAACGCTTTGAGGTAAATGCATCCATACTTGTAGAAAAGAACATAGAATCCCGTGGTGAACAATAAGTCTGCTTTGTAATTAACATTGGGAAGTTTTACGCCGACAGCTATGACATGTATGGACACATACATGTACTAAGATATGAACAAAATATACAGTTATATAACAAACCAGGTATGGCATAAACAAACCAGGTATGGCACAATATTTTCTCACACACAAGATCATCAAAATGTGGGATAATATTATTTCTATCACTAGACATAGCCTTGAAGCTTTTAGAAAGAAATTTTGCAGATTTTAAATAGATAATTTGATTTAATGTACACTGTGCGAATACGATTTTATACGTCATTGAATATGCCCCCCAACCCCCACCCCCACCCACCCAACCAAACTGTTACTCTCACAAATAAAGGGACCGACAACAATCAAATTTCTTAAACTAATGTTACATTTTGCAGCTTTTATATTTGCTATCATTAAAAACATATATGTAGTTTCTATAGTTGAGTATTATAAAGTGATTTTAAATCTTTAATTGATAATTTACAGTAACGTAAAATACGAATTCTTCAAAGTTGTTTTGGGGCTGGGAAATATTTATAG